TTTTGATCTTGCCAATGTGATCTCCATCTTCTGGCTTTCTCCTTTAAAATTTTGATAGGAGTCATTCCCTTGTTCAAATTTAAATTTAATTTAAATCCAAGAGAAAAAATTTTCAGGAGCGGGGGTGAAAAATGAAATATACTCATCCAAGTACCCTAGGTAATGTAGTTTTAGAAAATATATGGGGGTCTCTCTCCAAAACCCTAGGAGGAGTTCAATAACAGACAGAGGCTACAACTTTATATATATATAGATTCTCATTTTAATGTGGATATTTTATGGTTTAAATTATACCGTCTAAATTTCTGAAATGAGGAGTTATTATATCACATTTCAGACATTGTTCACTCTGTTCTTCATCAGGTGTATGTTAATTTGGTTGAGTAACCTACCTGGAATTTTGAACTGAATCCTTTATTTAATCTACTGAAGTAAATTGTTCTTGTTCCACTGCTCATGTCTAGGGATATCTTGTTTAGTTCTTTATTACTTGTCCTATTTCTATTGAGTCCAGGTACATACTGCCTCAGCTTATAGATTGAACTAACAATTACTGTCACCAAATTCACAAATCAACACCTTAACCCATTAGGCTATAAATTATACTTTGTGTTAGATGTCATAAATGTTATGATTTTTATCTATCTATCCAGTACAAACACTGATTGCTGACTATATCAAATGTTGCAAAACTATGATAAAACTTAAATAGTTTTTCACATACTTTCTTTAAAGAAACAAATATTTTGATTAAAAAATATTGAAAAACTGATTTTTGATTATATTCTAAACATGTTTAATTCAAATGTATTTCACTTTTTAAATAATAGTTCTTTTGGGCTTTTTTTTAATTATGTAAATAAATCTTAACTTACCAATTGTGGATCATTGTCTTTAATGGCACAATAGCAATAGGGACCTGACCAAAGTCCTTGAATAAGCATCAATACCAAGGAATGTTTTTATCTGCAAACATTACATATTTGAAACAATTAGAGTCAAAGGCAGCTCAGACATTTTGATTGCAATCAAATATTACTCCATTTCCTGATATACAAAATTTTTTATAAATAAATTAAAAAAGAATTGACCATGTCCAACAGAGTATACTTTTTTTATTTTACTTAATTTTATATTATTTTGCAAGCCAAAATTGGAATTCATCCCTGAGACTACGGCATCCTCAACACCAGAAAATACAGCATGAATTACCAACAGTTCAATTAAATCTTTGTATAACAGATTGCTGAGGACAGCAAATAATAACATTGAAAACTGACAAAGTGCTTTTAATTACATATATTGTGATGAGGATGAGTTTAATTTCAGGCTATTTGGTTCGCTCAAGCAAAAGTTGCAAGGTAAAATAAACAAATAAATTTGATCCAGATTAAATCATATCACAAGTAATGGGCAAATGCCAGATACATGGGTCATGGAACAGATATCGTTAATGACAGTGAAATCAGCAAGTCAAGTTCAAATTCCAGATGAGCCTGTTACATTCACTTTTGCTCTAATGCTCTTCGGAAAGGCATGAATCTATCTCTTCTCCCCCCCCCCAGTTATAGGTTAAATAGCAGGGTGGCAGCCAGTCTAAGAAAAGCAAATTTTTGAATTTCAAGCCGTGTTGAAGGCATTGGGAAACCACTCCACTATCTTTGCCAAGATCTTAATTCAAAAATAATAAAGAAAAAGAATCTGTGGAGAATCATGAGTGTATATATCCAGAAGGGACATAGCATTTTAAAAAAAAAAAGTTAAGACAATGATCAAATATTTGGTGAACTATAAATATGTTGCAATCTCTCAAATAGGATAAATTAAAACTCAAGTAAACCTCCAATTAATACAATTAAATTAGCTTTTAAAAAATGTCATTCTATGAGAGGGCACTGAAAAGCTCTCTGCCTGACCAAAATGTTAGGTTAAATTTTGAGGAGTATGTCAGACTGAAAATATTTCAACACCCTCTCATAACATTTGCAGTAATTATATATCCACTGTAAATTCATTATTTGTAGGCCTTCCTTATTTCTAGTAAGAAAAGTATTACTGTTTGTTCATAATTCAAATATAAAATGCAACTTATTCTGAATTAAAAACTGGTTTGAGTAAAAGCATAAATGTTCATTTATCAAAACAAAATGGAAACTTTCTAATGAAAACTAAATACTCAATATTTGAATATATCAGTGGAATTTTGGATAAATATTTAATAACCTTTAGCACTCTGCATTGTTATTACTTTCCACGACATTCTTTTTCAAAGTCTCTCAATTGCAATATCTTTAGCGTTAATTTCACTCAAAATTGTTTTCTATTGCCATAGCAAACTATGACAACATGACTATGAAATTCAAACACTATTGTTGAGGGATCAGTCACCTTCAGTGGCAGGATAAAGGTTTTGTACAACAAATGAAGTCACATATAGAGTGACAAAGATTAAGCGGAAAAGCATCTCTCTTAATCATGAGCTTGGCTTACAACCAATTCACGTTGAAGCATCAGTTCTCATACAATCACCTAAGTTAAGCAACATCAAGCTTGGTCAGTACATAGATGGGTGACCACTTGGGAATTCCAGGTGCTGTAAGCTTTGATGTCCAGATAGTGTAATGGATAATGGCTCAGAATTGAAAATCAGAGCAGAGTTCCAATTCCAGTCGTGTTCATTATATTCGCTTACATGCAAACACCGTTGGCAAAGGTATGAATCAACCTCTTCTCCATCTATGGATTAATTAGTAGGACTTGTATCAGTATAAGCTAAAAATATTTTCTGGCTTTAAATAATCTTCAAAAGGTTGATAAGCCATAAAAAACAAATCAATCAATCAAATTTAGCTTGGAGTTTGCATTGGAACCAACAATCAGAATCTAAGTGAAATATATACAATAATTTAAGTGAAATATATACAACTATATGATCAAATTTTGGGGAAATATGCAACTATCTCAGACACAAGGTAGCCCTAAGTGCAATTATCAGTAATGGTGGAATACTGGATAGTTGCCAAAATCTGACCAAACATCAGGTTTCTTTTAGAAGGGTTTCTTGCTTTGGCAAGAAACATTTTAGCACCACCTTTTATAATATAATTTCTGTCTGTGGGTAAGTTTATTGCTGTAATACAACAGAAATGCCACATCATGAGATTTTTGTTGGGACAATCCAGTCAAATCTTTAACTTAATTAGAATGATGCAGGATTTAAATTTACATTCACACTGGTAATAATGGCCAAAATTTTGTATGTTTGTTAGGAAAGCTGAAAAGAAAATCATATCAATATTGAAAGACAAAACAAAATGAAATAATTACTAACTGCTGTGTGAAATAAGGCTACCAATATATCAAAAACAAAAAAAAATTTCAATTCTAAATGTAGTTGGAGTTTGGCTAGTAGTCTCCATATTTGTAAGTAATTATGATATAAATTCTATAAATAGAAAGCAACTTGAAATCTAACTTAATAGCCATCGTTGTCAGCCTTTAAGCAACTATTAACAAGGATAATTATGAAAATTACAACACATAAGATGCAACCTAATGATTGAATTCTATTTTAATCTCACATTCAAGGCACTTATTCTTAGGTGTATTGCTTATGAAAACCTCACAGAATTATAATCATGTTTTAAGAAGTAATGGGGATAATGTGTTCTTGATATTCAAATTGATCCCATAACAAGGTGTGTAGGCTAAAAATAGAACAATGAGGATTCTCCAGAGACTAAATGGCATCAATGGAAAGCAGGTTTTAGTCACAGCAGAGCACAGAGGATAAAATGAAGACAAAGTGAATTTCAAAGAAAGACATAATGTAATAAACATCATTTGGTGCTGAACAGATCAGCTAGCAAAAACATTAACTTTCTTTTGTAGTAAACGTAGTGTGTATGGCACAAATCCAAATAGGAAGATTGTATAGTACCAATTTTCCAAATGGTAAGGGCCTTTGAAAATCAGCATTCAAAATTCTGAATGATTAAATTTTAATAGCTTTTAAAAACATTTCACTAAAAACACTTAAATCTTAACCAATTGTTTGTCTTAAAGCACTTTTCTAGTGTTATTCTTTTGTACAAATATGCATTATCTGGAATAGTCATATTTGTGGGAATTTTTTTGACTTATCAAAGAATGCCAGTTTAAATAAATATTTTGCTAAGAATTTTTTATAGAAGTTTAATAAACATAGAACAAAATAATTGTGCTGCAGAGAAAATTATTTAAAAACTAATAATTATTCTATATTGAATAAGCAGTGCTGGTAGGGGGGAGATTGAAGGAAATAAATTAATCAAGTGGGCACTTGTATCTTGGACACAAGAGGATATTGCTTATAAAATATAATCACTTTTTTTTTTAAGAATTAATAGTATATGTTTTTCATATTTATCAAGGTTAGTCAAGTAGATATTTATCTGCACACACATGTTGCAGCAGAAAGTGACACAAGGTCAGAGTTTAATGTGGGATTTCTGGAAAGCCATACAAAAATTGTTCAAGCCCCTTTGGTACTTCCCTTTTTGGGGGGTGCCTCAGGTGGCAGGTAATGACCACAGCCCCCTCTCAAAAGATGGATGGCCCCCTAGGGCTTGAGCTGATATCATTTTCAACATGTATAGAAACCAGGTAAGATTAGTTAAGTATAGCACAAGGTCAATTGGAGTAGGAATATTATATGATGCTAATCTATTAAATGGAGAGGACCTTACTTGAAAATTAGCACCAGTCTCAACCACAAAGCAGGCCACTAAATATGTTCTTATAAGTCATAAGCATCAAATTTAAAATTAAACTGGAAATACAGAAAAAAATCTCTGAAATGGAAATTAATATGAAAGCTAATATATTTCAAGTTTTTTTAAATGTTTTTATAACCCAATGAAAAATTCTTAGATCTACAAAAGCTCAAAATATTAATTACTATTAATCTGACTTAATCATTGTTGAAACAAAGGTCTTAGATTAGACAGAAAATCATTTTAACAATAAGTTCAAAACATGTCTGGTCACTGAAGTTAAGCAGTGTTGAACTTGATCAGGACTTAGATAAGCGACCATTTAAGATCATCAGCTACTGTAAACAACTTATGGTCTTATAATGAATGCTTAATAAACAAGACAAATTGACTAAAAAGGATAAGTTTTTTTCTTTCACTGTATTAACAGATATTATCTTGGACAAGATTTGAAACACATCAAGATAGATGTTCAGATTGAGAATCAATTTAGAATTAGTGATCAATCAATGGTCAGTGATAGTTAGCATGCTAATCTCACAAGTCATTGCTAGTAAGTTTAATCCTTACTGGCTGTTCTTTGAATGCAGCCTTGTACCAAGGTTTGTCTAATCCAACAAGTATTAAATGTACAAGCCAAGCAGTCAATTCAATACCCATCCATAATTTATTCAGATACTCATTATATTAATTGTAAATCTGATGTCATTTTGCTGCAATTAAATAATTCTTTCCAAATCAGAACATCTAAATGAATGTTTACATTTAGAGATCTACAAGTTATTTCTCCTATTTTTTTGAGAATGTGTGTTGATTTTGTTTAGCAGCACAGTAACCTCTATGAGTTATTTAATGCTGAAATCTAAATATTTTGAAGTTTATGGCTTCAACTACAGATTAAATGTATTGTTGGTAATTTTTTTATACATAAAAATGAATTGCTGGTATTTTTACACTTTCAGAAAATATACTGTTGGTAATTTTATTATAAATATGTATTTTTATACTTTCAAACATTTTCATTTTTGTTTGGGAGAGGGTAGGTGACTATTTGCCCATATCTGGGACCCTAACAGGTGCTACCACCCCTATTTTTTTTAAAAAGATTTTGTTTCAATGAAGGGGGTAAAATGTCTATGTTGTGTTGGAGTTGAACTGAGTCTACATCTTTTTATATTATTTAAAACTGGATTAATGTCCTCATCTTTATTGATGTCATCACCATGTTTCAACCATTATGCTCTTGTCAATCCTAGTAACTTTCAGGGAATTTTGAACTGAACCTACAGGGGTAGACTTGTTCTCATGATCCTAACCATGTCTAGAGATATCTCATCTTGTTCTTATTTAGTACTGCTCAAATGTTGCTCACCCTGTTTTCCAAGCAGTAATTAAAGTGTGGAATTTGAATTTGGTTTGGTGACATAGTAATCGCAAGTTCAATCCTTGAGTCAAGTAATGCAGACTTAGTAAAAACAGAGGGAGCAATAACTGAGCAATGCTAAATGAGATATTCCTAGACATGGACAGAGGAACAATTTACCCCTATAGTTTAAATAAAGGGTTCAGTTAGAAATTCTTTAAAGGTTACCTGGATCTACAAGCACCTGATGAAGGCCAAAGGGCACAATGGCTGAAATGTTGTCATAATAACAAAGGTGAGAACAATAGTCTGAATGCAAATAACAACACCCAGAAATTGAAGCTACATCTGTTTCCCATAGAATTAAAATTGAATGCTTATAGAAATTGCTGATACAGTAATATAGCCTTCACGGTGCTATATAGGAAGGTCCAGTATTCGGCCACCTTACTGTTTGTTGGATCTGAAAACTAAACAAAAGACTAAATTTGTCTTCTTGGCAAATCTATGACAATTACATTAAGTTGAGCTGTATCATTTGTCTAAAATCATTACTGCCATTAATTTTCGAAGTAAATCAGAAAACTTAATTTTCCGTTTCCCAACCACCAAAACATTCATTAGAGCTTCTAAAATTTCTATAAATCTATATATGCAGAAAATATCTGGAGGTTTCATTTAAAAAAAAAAAAAAAAAAAAGTAAAAACAGCAAAAAAATGTGTATTTAAGAACAAAACCAAAATAATACAGAATGATACTAGAGAGAGGACCAAATAAAAACTATTGAATCAAGAATCTTTAAAACTTAACATCTGACTTAGCCTCTTCTTCACTTATTTGACATCTGATTTAGCAACCGGGCTTTTTGTTGCATCTGTGAACTGTGAAACAGTAGGAATGATAGCATGTAAGACCACCATCCCCTATTTACATTTAATAATGCTTTAATTAAAGAATTTATGACGTTAAAAGTCCTGGTAGCGTGTGGTGTCTGAACAAATAGTTTACCAGACTTCACATAAGAAGACCCTCCACGAGATGTTTTTTGAATTGTGCTTTTGGTTATAAAAAATAAAATAGCTATGGCTCTCTTAGTGTTAGTTAGTTATTTAAATGTCTATTAATGTTCATATCATTGACCCCGAAAATGTCCATGGGAGGAGTTTTTAATCACTCATTCAAACAAAACTAAAGTAAAAAAAAAACATGACGTTATCGTTTCATCGCGAAACATTGTTGCCAATTTGTAAACATGTCTTCCGGAAGAATAGAACTCTGGTTATATTTTTACTAATTCTGTAAGAAAACTATTACATTCTGTGTAAATTCTTTTTTTTTTTTTTTTAAATACTTAAATAAACGTGTCCTTGTCCGCTTCTTATAATTGTCATATTTTAAATTTTACAAATTTGTCGCCAAGCTTATCACCATTTTTACGATAATCACGTTGATTACGGGTTCATTCTTTCTTTTGTTATTGCA